TGACCAGCTCAACCTCTGAGGGTTGGGGGAGCTTCTCACCAGAAGGGACATTTGAGTTGGGCCTCAACCTGTGAGGATGAGTAGGAGTTCACCAGGCGGAGAGGATGACCAAGGAAGAGGAGGGAAGATGGGGAAGGACGTTCCAGACAGAGGAACCATAGCATATTTAGGGAACAGCACGTGGCTCGAGGTCGCTGGGTGGTTAGATGTAGGGGGAGTATCTGGAGATGAGTTGAGGGCCAGCCCCTGGGGCACTTGTTATTTCCTGCCCCAAGGAGCGAGTCCAGGGTCACAAAATCCAACCTCATCAAGGGCCAGGCAGGCGAGATAAATCCAGGTGACGTGGGCCGACCCTGGAGCTCCATTCCGCTCTCTCTGCACTTCAGACTTGTAGGACCCCAACTCTTTACTCTCACAGAGAGTTGTGCCTTCTTTTGAAGCAGAGCACTGGGTATCCTCACGTTCTCGCCTCTGCTAGGGACACGGGCACAATGTTGATGGGACCACAGCGGGTGGTGACGGAGGGCAACCAACACTCTGCCTCAGCCTTGGAATCTGGGTGGCAGGAGGGGATGGTGGGGCCTGTAACAAACTGGTGAGCTCAGATCCCCTGTGGGAACAAGGGCCTGAGTGTTCCGGAGCAGCTAGAAATCTGGACTTTTATGTGAAATCTCTGGATTGTTCAATGTCGACTCCAAATTTTAAGATATGCATCAGTCGAGCCAAACAGAACACATCTGTGGGCCACCGATTTGCAGCCCTTATTTTCTGACTGACTTCTGAATGCTGTTACGGAGGGAAGGCGGGCTGGCCCCTTGGAGGATCTGCCTATTTGCGGGCATGGGGGGGCTGGGGAGGTCCACACGGGCGGGTCAGAGCAGTTCCAAAGGCGGTCTGCCTTTCTGACAGTGGGGCTGCTTCACATTGCGGCCAAGAGGAAGAAGGGGCTTTGGGGAGGGTCTGTGGGCCTCTGTCCCCGACCCTGTAAGCAACCTTCCTCTGAGGGCAGGGTCCGGGGGCTGGCTTCCCTCCGTCAGTGCGCACCACCCTTAACTGGGTGTCTGTGTTGTTTCTTCCAGTCTCTATCTGCTGCTGCCTCTTCATCCTCTTCCTTTTCCTCTCGGAGCTCACCGGATTCATCACGACAGAAATGTAAGTTACATCGCCCACCGGTGAGGCATCCCAGAGCTTCTGGGCACCCCAGGCGAGAAGAGAGAGGGGCTTTCCGAAGGAGAGAAACCTCCGAACCTTCTACCTCCTGTTTCCAAGCCTGTGGCATCAGTCACTCCTCTGGTTCTTAAAAGGGTTTTAAAGCCAGAGTGGAAACCAACATTGCTTTGTTAAAGCTGAAGAGAGAACTTTGGTTCCCTCCGGGGGTCAGGGAGGCACCTCCCGGGTCCGCAGATGAACAGAAATCATTTGCTCATGTTTGCCGTCCCTGTGTTTGGCCAGTGGGCTTTCTTCCCTCTGAGTCATCGCAGGGTCGTTTGATGTTAAAACTGGAAGAGGTCAGAGAAAAATGGGGGCAGCTTTCTACCTGAGGCGGTGGAGGGGGCGGGGTTCTGACATCGGAGCCTGGCCCCCCCTCAACCAAGCCCCCTTCCCTGTTCTAGGCCCACACTGGGTGAGGAGTCAGCATGGGCTTCCTGGCAGCGGGTTGACGCACTGTGAATCCATCCCCAGTTCCTAGAATCATCTGTTGTTCAGATAACCTAGTAAATGCTCTGGGGCCTGTGTAACACCGAATGCCATTGGAATTATTCAGTCACAGCCTCATCAGATGCCCCTCTGAGATGAATTAGACCCAGAAGCTTCCTGCCTTCACCTCTGGCTTCCAAGCCTCTGCATTTCCATGTTTATAACCCAGAAAGTCATCACGGGGCTGGGCTCTGGCCACCCACTCCCCTGTCCAGCACTGGAATTTTCTTTTGCACTCATGGAATTTCTTGGTTTCCTGTGCCTCCCTGTCAGCCACAAGACAATAGGAAACTGAAAACATAGCTGCTCAGCCCAAGATGGTCCCTGTTGCTCTGTAACCATTACCGCCTTAATCCTCAAACAGCCCTGGGAGGTAGTTGTCCCCTCTTTATAGATGAGGAAACTGAGGCTCAGAGAGGTGAGGGGACTTGTCCACTGACTTGCCCACCGCCCCAACTCATTTCTGAATATAGCTTCCACCCTCCTCTGACGTGGGAGAGTTTGTCTTCCCTGTCTCTCTGATCCTGTTTCTAACCGTGATGGCACCAAAGCCCCAGGAGCCTCATGGAGTGTTGGAAAGAGCACGGGACAAGGCCTTGGGAGATCCAGGGCCAGGTCCTTGCTCAGTTACCACCTGCTCTGTGACAGGTGGCAAGTTGCCAGACCTCTCTGGGTCCCAGTATTTCTGGCCAAACAAGAGAGGGTACATCAGAGGCAAGGCTTCCTTCCAGGTCTGGGGAAGCTTGTCTGCCTCCCAAGACATAACTCCTTGACCAGGCAGGGGTCAGACAAGGAACTTTGTTCCCCCTGGACTCTGTCCCAGTCAAGTGTGCACATTTGGGCCACTGGATATTTCACGGGTCATCCCATCATGATTTGGAGGTGGAAGCAGGGAGAGCAGCCAGAAATTGAGACCTGCTGGCATTTTGAAGGACCTACTGTGTGCCAGGCGCCTGCTGGTCTCTCCAGGTCACGCCCCATTCCCTGGCAGGGGGGCTTCTGTGCAGGCCTCTCGTGTTCTGAGCCCGGTGAGAAGCGGTACCCAGGTGACAGCAACAAGGAGGGAGCCCTGACCGTATCCCAGGTGCCAGGTGCAAGGCTTTACCTATTCCAGGCAGGGACACGGGCAAGTGCAAAGGCCCTGAGGCAGGAATTACCTGGTGTCTGTGAAGACAGAGAGCTGGTGTGGCTAGAGCAAAGTGAGCAGGCAGGGAGAGGAGAATATGGAGCAGGTGGACCCGAGTCAGGCCAGGCACTGTACACTGCCATGGATTAATGGCGATCATCCTTGGTCCTGAGCGCTCAGAGGTCAGGCATCAGGTCTGTCCGATTCACTACCATGTGACTCCATGCTCAGAGAGCCAAAAATGCAGGCGGTGGACACAGATGGTCTGCAAGCAAACACAACGGAATGTATCAGTTAGTGATAAGGGCTCGGAAGAAAAAACAAAGCAGGATAGGAGATAGAGAAGGTATGGGATATTTTGTGAGCCTTTAACAAGATTATTTACCTTCAAAGGTGTTTAACATAGTGCCTGATATACTTTAAGATCCTTATCCCTTCAGGCATTTATTCGTTTCATATTTCTTCCCTGTCTAACGGGAAAAAGGTTGTAAGGCCACTCAGCACCTGTCATGTAATGAGTACTCTGTGAGTGTTAATTTTTTTGTCTCCCCCCCTTGAGTTAAGAAGGGGCCTCCCTCACCTCCAGCTGACATTCTGAGAGGCAGTTCATTCAGCTGATCCTCGGCTTAGCCGATAATGAGGCAGAGTGCCGAGGCAGCACCCCGACAGGTAAATTTGGACGTCAGAGCTGGTGACTGCAACAGGAGGTGACTGCATCAGTCACTCTTGTGACTGCAACACACCCTGCTGCTGTGTGCAGGGCACTTGAGGATGCCCGGACAGCACACTCCGTTTACCAGGGCAGGACTCACTTCTTTCTCAAGAGCACAGTGTGTTCCCACTGCTCTGTCCCCTTTCCCTCTCCAGCACTTCCTGGCTCCTGGGGGCATTCTGAACATGCTGGTCCCACCACACCCCCGGAGAGGAAGAGGGGCCATTCATTCAGTGTTTGCCTTGTGTCGGGCCCTGGGCTAATAAGCACTTCCCCACCGGCAGTGAGAGCTGGGCTGGGGAGAGGCAGAGCAGTGTGGGTGAGAAGAGAGACCTGTCCAGGCCAGAGGCTCCATCCATGATGATGCGGTGATCCTAATGCCTCCTTTCTCTCTGCGGCCTTGTGACCAAGGTGCAAGAGTTGCCCAAAGGGCGTCCTCGCGGGCGAGGGCTCCACAGGAAAATCCAGAGGACAGAGGATTGCACCTTGGGGTCCTTCCTCTGTCAGAAGCTTCTCCGACCCCCGCAGGTCACAATTCTTTTCCTTTTCTGGGTGGCTGGCCCGCCCTGGCAGTTTTGTGACCACAGTGGGTTGGCCTCCCTACCCCCGCCGTGAGATTATAACCCAAGGAAATGAGGTCACCTCTGGTTGGATCAGCATTGCTCTAACGCTGGCCTGTGGTTATCAGTGACATAAGAGGCTATTCTGGCTCAGCCCGGCGGGGAGGGAAACCTGTTTGGGTGATTGGACTTCAACCTGGACATTAATTATACTTGGGAAAGTGGCCCCACAGGGTGCTCTGAGGCTCTGTGTTTGTAAAGGAGCGGCATCCTGCTCCTCAGAGAACGTGGCCACAGAACATTCCAGTCTGTGACTGCCCAGCCTCTGGCTGCTCTTAATTATTAACATGATGAGGATTTATAATAAGAAAATGTAGTAACTGGAACTCTCCATTGATCATTTCTAGCTTAATACAACTCAGACTTTTCAGCTGTGATTTGTAATAGGCAACCCCATGCCAGCCACCTAAGCTAGCCCTTTACAATATGCTCATCTTACTTAAAGGTCACAAAACCCCTTGAGCCAAGTGCTACTGTTGACATTAGTCTCACTTTATAGCTGGGGAAACTGAGGCACCAGGAAGCCAAAACCACAGTGCAGTTAGTAAGTGGTTAGAGCGAGAGTCAAACCCAGGCCTGGGGCTTCCCTGGCAGTCCAGTGGTTAGGACACTTCCACTGCATGGGGCACAGGTTCGATCCCTGGTCAGGGAACTAAGATCCCACATGCTGTGGGGAGTGGCCAGGAGGGGGGAAAAAAAAAAAAAACCCACAACACCCAGGCCTGTCTGATGCCAAAGCCTAGAATTGGTACCCAGACCCCCATATCACGTCCTTTTCTGCCCAGAGCGTTTTGGAGCCCCGCGGACATGGCAGCTGCTGCTTTTTGGTCAGAATAGTTCACTGGGAGACTTGGATGCGCCCTCCTGGGGGGAGGTGGCCTCACCTCACAGGCAGGAAGCCGTTGCCCACCGAGTTGGAACTTGGACGTTACCTTGAACTGTGTCCTCACACGCTCTAGTAGCAGGCCCAGAGTGGGTAGGCCAGTAACTTAGCCAGGAGGAGGAGCTCGACGGCTCCCTAGGAGCCCAGCTTACCCACTCTGAGGCCTGGATTGTGAGCCAGGGCCGGGTAGGGAGCCACGGTCATCACGTGGAAGAGCAATGGGAGGCCTGAAGGCTTCTGAGCATCGAGTGATGGGATGGGGTTCGTGCCTCGGGAAGATCACCTCTTGCAAAGATGGGTTTGGGGCGGGGTAACCCTGGAGTCCAAGGCCTGGTGAGGGGGCTGGGCAATGACCCAAGGCAGAGGGGCTGAGGGTCCCCGGGTGATGGCTTTGGAGAAAGGGGTGGGGGCAGGACTAGGTGGCTGCAAAGAGATGCTTTGGGGACATCTGCCTGGTAGGTAATAGGTACACTAACTTACACCTGGACCGGTCCGGATTTAAAACTCAAGGTCCCGGAGAGCTTGCTTGCATAACCTCATCCCTCCCCTCCCACTCCCACCCCAAGCCCTTTACTGCGAGCCTCACTGCTGGGTAAGTTTCCATTAGATCAAATTATTAAGCATGGAGGTCAGCGACTTTGGGCAGGAATCCGAAGTATTCAAGTGCTCTTCTAAAAGCAAATAAAATTGTTTTCTGTAGATGTCATTGGACTCACGCCTCAGCCTAGAATTTCAAGGTCCTCCGTTACTTTCCACCTACTCTCCCCCCACCCAAACCTCCCTGGTCCCTTTCTTCCTCTCTCCCTACATGGCCACTGTTTACGGACCCCCATGCAGTCCGACGCAGTCTGGCATCCCCCACCTGGAATGTGCCCCCGCCCCCCGCCCCGAACAGAGGTCGTGAGCAGGAGCTCTCTGCTGCCGCTCAGGGAGCCCTCGTCCGGGGCAGAGCTGCGGGTGGGAAGGAGGCGGATGCTGCAGCTCCTGAGGTGTGGTGGGTAGAGATGACAGAGGGAGGCTTGAGGGACACAAAGGGAGTGGAGCCCCTAGCACCCCCTGTCCTGTAGGTACTTGGGCCATGGGTGGGGTGGGGTGGGGTGGGCATCTGCAGAT